GTTCACGCTCGTCATGCCACAGTGCTGTCGTCAGGCTTTGCGACACTATGTAGGCTTTTGGCTTGCCAGACCTAAGCTCGCGCGCCCTGGTAGAATTGCCATGGAAAATGAATGGAAATCGGAAGTCTTGGACCATTACTGCTTGCGGACCATCCTTCGAGTGAAATACACCGACTTCGTCTCAAGTGAGACTGTACATACTCGCTGCGACAACACCGCAAGGCTATCCTAGGCAATCCAAGAATAGCGACTGCGGTGGTTTGGACACATTCTTCTCCATCAAGCTCGGGAGCTCAGTGTTACTGCCCTTTACTTTAAACCGTTATTTACTTAGAACCGTCGAAGTGGGTGTCAGCTCAAAATCTGACTAGACTCAGTACGTCCAGATATGGAATTGGTTCATGAACCTTCGGTACTCGGTCTCCGGCGCCGGCGAAAAGGGTGGCTCCAACTGTCCAGGTCTGCGGCCATGGATCGTCGCGCGTGGAGAAGCACCGTAGGGGGCATCGTTGAGACCGTCTACATCAGTCATGATCGCAGTCGTAACAAGTACAAAGTGAAGGAGCAGCAGCCTATGTATTGTAGCCATGATTACCATGTGCTTTTAGATCATAGCGTAATAGTTTTATGGCATTTTACGTGTCCTTTTGCGTTCTATCTAGAGAACAAGAATAATTGGACGACAACTGTTTGCGCCACGGCTGAATTGGTACAAAACCTTCCCGTCTTTACCTGCAGCACGCGTATTAGTGCATCAAACTAAATGGATTATTATTCACTCATTCCCACGTTCAGTCACTTAGAGTCGTCATAAAGCCACGTTTGGAACAGTCAGCTGCAGCTGTTCTCTGAAGCGAAAACGTGTACAAGTCGAAGAGCCAGCTACTCAGATGAGCCACAGGTGACAGAAGGACCGTTAGTGGAGGTTATTCGCAAAGTAAATAGGCTGTTGGGTCAAGCTGACTGGCTAGTAGCCCTTGTTGGATAAGGAGCCCCGCCGGGTGGGCCTCAATCCCGGTGGCGGTGAAGAGGAGTCGGGCAGCGTGGTCGGGGGATGGGGGCTGCTCCGTCATCAAAAAACACAGATGGGGTGGAGGGGAGATAGATCCACCGTAGGAAGATTGGTGTAGCAGACCTTGGCCGCCCGTGAGGGCGGGTGGGAACGCGGTAGACGCGTCTGCTGTGGTTCCTTTGGGTCAGGCTAATAAGCAGTGGTGGGCAGGCGCTCGTAATGCTACCAGAATATGGGGAGTTGAGGTCTGGCGACCGACTATCCCCTAAGCTGATGACTGTCCCGGTGTGAGGGTGTACTGTCGTTGCATAGATTCCTTGTTGCCTGAGGGGCTGGGACATGGTAAAACCGACAAGTCAATGACTACGTTCGCGCACCTTCGTTTGTTTCACAAATCGGTAGATGGATATGCGCCACAAAGCCAGTGGAGTCGTCATGAATGCAGAGATCTGATCTAGTGAGCAGGTTGTCGTCCTCCCGAGACCTCTAAAGGGGCGCCACTTCTCGTTGAATCGACTAATTTTTTTGCTACTGCAGAACATTAACCAAACCTTTTGCTGAGGTTGAGCTCAGGTAGGTATTGTATGAAGTTCTCCAGATGGTGGTAGTTGGCGCGTAGGTTGCCAGATGCCTGGTTATATTATCCCAGGGACTACGAAGACCTGAGTAATGGTGGTTGGCTGGCTAGTAGCCCTTGTTGGATCCGGATCAACGGAAAACTATCTGTATTATTTGAAGCATTTGTTCCTCAGTACGAATT